TCTTTTTTTTCTGAAGAAGGGTCCAGACCCGAAACGTCAGCTTTCCTGCTCCTCTGATGCTGCTTGGCCTGCTGCGTTCATCCAGCTCTACACCTTGTTATCTCAGATTCTTCAGCATCGGCAGTTCCCACTATCTGTCAGTTGAAATTAGAGCCACATTACCATGGTATTCAACTGTCAAGTGTCAACTACTCGTAACATCTTGTAAGTTGAAAAAAAAAGTGTATGTTTGAGTTAAGATTTAATAATGACCAATACAACAAAAAAGTGCAACTGTGCTTTTGGTTTATAATTAGAAGCTTACTAAGGTTGGAATTGAAGTGCATTTGTAGTTTTTCCATGCTTTACTCCCTTTTGAAAGTGTCGACCTCTGTGACATACTAAGCAATATGTTAGAAGTTTCCATTGTTATTGGCAGCCAAAAGCTTGTAAAAATTTCCTTACTGCTGACTGCTGCTATACTTTTCAATTTGAACATGTGGTAGGTGGACTGTAGCTGTACCTGACCCAGTCTTTATCTTCTCATAAGCACTTCCTGTCAAGGATCCAAGAATGACTTGTACTTCTACTAGTCTTGGAAGGCAAAGATAGATTTTACACATCTTTTTCTGCCTCACCATTTTTAAAAATTCTTTCAGATATATGGTTACAAGGAGATCACAGCTGGGAACTAACTATTCAGGAGTATGTGACTATTCGAAAGGACAGGAAGGAATTGGTGAAGTGGAATTATTAGTATGGATGGGAGAAGTAGAATTGCAAGAAATAATCTTGGATCAGATGTTGTAGGATCCATATTGGTGGATGTATGTAATAAAAAGGGAAAGAAGTCACTGATAGATGTAGTCTATAAGATCCCTAACAATACCAATACGATGGAAGGCAGAATAAATTAGGAGATAATGAGGGCATGTAACAAAGACAGTATGTTAATCATGGTGACTTTAATATTCATATAGTTTGGGATAAATTGGCAGAATAAGCCATGAGGAAGAATTTGGAATGTATTTGGGTTATTTCCTAGAACAAAATGTTGTGAATCCAACCAAGGATCAGGCTGTTTTGGATCTATGATGTATGTTATGGCAGGTTTAATAAATGATGTTAGAGTAAACGGTCCCCTACGAAACCATGACCATGGCATAGTAGAATTTATCATTCAGCTTGAGATGGAAGAACTTGGCTTGGACCAAATTGTTCTAAACTTAAATAAGGGGGATTACAAAGAAATGAATGCAGATCTGGCTGGAGTGTCTTAGCAGTCAAGACAGTTGATGAATAATGGCAGAAGTTTAGGAAAATAGTTCATTGGTCACAGAAATGACAAATTCCAATAAGGAAGAAGAATTCCAAGAAGGGCATAAGACAACCATGATTAACCAGGGAAGTTAAGGATTGCATCAAATTGAAAGAAAAACACAATGTGACAAAGATTAGTGGTAAGCCAGAGAAATGGGCAAGGTTTTTTTTCTAAAAAATACCAATAGATAACCCAAGAAAAAGAGGGAGAAAATCAACTTGAGGGTGAACTTGCAAGTATTATCAGTATGGACAGGCAGAGCTTCATTAATTATATAAAAAAGAAAAGAGAAACCAAAGTCATCAGAGGCCCTGAGAGAGTAAGGCTGGAGAAATAACCATGTGGAACCAGGAAATGGGCAGAGGAGTTGAATAAATATTTTGCATCATTCTTCACAGTAGAACACACTAATAGCATTCTAAAATTACTAAATAATAAGGTGGCAATAGGAGGAGAGAAAATAAGTACAATAATTGTCACTAGAGGAGTAGTGCTAGGGAAACAACTGGGGTTGAAATCCTAATGGGATGCATCTTAGAATATTAAAGAAAGTAGTCACAGAGATAGTGGATGCACTGTTAGTAATTTTTGAGGAATCCATAGATTCTGGAAATGTCCCAGAGGATTAGAAAATTGCCAATGCAATACCTTTATTGAAATGAAATTTCAAGAAAAGGTTAGTATAGACCATTTAGCTCAACGTGCGTTATTTGGTAAATGTTAGCCTATTATAAAGGATGCAATAGCAGCACATAATATGATCATGCTCCCAAGTCAACATGGCTTCATGAAGGGAAAATCATCCCTGACAAATTTACTACCATTGTTTGAAGACTTAACAAGTTAGATTGCTTATAAGTTGCTTTTAAAGCTGCAATGTATTGTAGCAAAACATCTTCCCAAACTGAACTGAAGCTCAGTTGATCTTGCTTACAGACAGAAACTTGGGCCAAGATAAGTCTGAATGAGAAATTAATCGCAGGAATCCAGCCCCTGCCAGCACCCCCCCCCCCCCCCCCCCCCAAAAAAAAAAAACAAGTGTTCTAAAGTCACCAGACCATCTTAGCAATTACTTGTCTGAGGGGCTATGTTGAGCTGTTCCTGGACAGTGAGTCTAATTGAACTGCGTTACTATGTATGAATCACAGTCAGGCAGATTTTATCCTCCTATGCATGTCCATTTCCCAGGATGGGTGAAGGGATGGTGATCAGGAGCATAACGAAAACCTGGCAATGATTAAACTCCACACCCCCAACCCTCCAAGCTGACTGACAAACAGCTGATACTGAGACCAATGTCAATGTCTCAGACCAACACCTTAGCTGAAAGTTTGAGATTTCCCATAAGTCAAGGCTAACTAGTAATCTGCATGATTTCTTGCATCTTTGCACCCCACCTTCAGGGTCATTGACCTATTAAGTCAGTAGGAAGGTGAATATTTTAAAAGGTGAGCCATATTTTTCAGCATATTTTACTATCATCTGCGAAAATCTTTCAAACCATACAGCCACTCCTGAAAAATATTTTGTCAAATTTGAATAAAGGAAAGGTAATTAAGCTAAAGGTTTTGCTGGAATCAGTGCAACGTTAAATGGTACTGAATTAAGTGAATCAGATTTTACCATTATAACTAATGTAGAGACTTCAATTAGGTTCTGTAGAACCTCTTGCATCAGAAACGTAGGTAAAGTATTTTTGAGAGTTTTCCCACTTACTGCTTTCCTCACCCAAGCCCACAATGTGAGCGAGTGCCCGGGGTCAGTTAGGCAGCCAGCTTAGAGGGTCAGGAGGGGGAACGATTGACCAGCTTGGGCTCAAATGATAGTTGTTTATTCAATACTTGATGTTTGTATTTATGGGGCAACATTGTAAATATGTTGTACGAACAAAGTTTTGGTTGCATGATGCCCGGTGGTTGCAAAGAGAATTTTTCACAAAATGGTGGCATCTGATCATTCACCCAGTAATGTGCTGGCACTCATTGGATATCTGCATGTAGCTACTACTTTTGAGGAAATCTTGTGGATGCAGTTTCCATATTGTGAATTTCATAAAAAACGTCACTGCTTTCCCACTCCTGACCCTTCCCAAGTATAAACTGGGCAAATTCTGTACAAAGATGCAGGTTAATAGGCACCTGAGAAACGTTGCTGATTGAAGCCAGACTAGCCTTCAAAACACACTACTGTGATACTTTTATTATGTCAATTTAGTATCGGAACACTTTTCCCAGCTAACAGCAATATCAAGCACCCCCATTGTTTAGTACATGTTCCTGGAGTAAATCTTCTTTCTCCAAAGAAACGCACTTTGATTATCAAACTGAAGCTACCTTGTACTGATGTTGCAGAGATATTATAAATGCTGAGGACCAGTAGCTAGAATTATTCTGCTTCCGGCCATGCTAGGTCTGACTGTGCGGCTTCTTGGTTAAACTGCTGTACCTCAAAGCTACAATATAATGGAGGTAGGCCAATATTATTATTGTTATTATCTTGTGCTTTTGCACCATGGTTCTAAACTGAGTTTTTCAGTTTCCCTGATTAATTACAACCAGTAACAATGACACTGTTACTTCAGTATAAACCTGTGCTAAATTAACCATTTTGTGTTCTAGACATTTGGGACTCGATTAAGATGACTTGGTCATTTTGTATAGAATCTTTCACAGCTGATGAAGATAAAGGACACTTTCAACTGATGAGTTGGGACTGAAATCATCCAAAAATTCAATTCTGTCTAAAATAACTAAAGATTTTCCAGACATTTTAATTTGTGGAACAAGGTTGCTTCAAAAGTTAAATTAGTTCTTTGGTTGTACAGATTTTTGATACCCTTGTAGGAAAGGCACCATCTGGTGCAAAACTAGATAGCTGAAATCAGAACGTCATTGATTTGATTGTCGGTCTTCACTGAGTTAACAGGACCCAATAGAGGTCTTTCATTTGACCATTGATCTGTTGGCTAAAGGAAGCTACCAGTCTGCCAGTGCTCCGACTTCTGAGTAACTTATCCTGTGACTTCAGCTCAGTTGAGATTTGAATTGTGTCACCCTACACAGGGGACAAATTGCTAAAATGCAGTGTCTATGATCACACCTTTAAAAATGGTCAGTTTAAGAAGATACTGTCAAAATGATCTGTGGAGACAATAAACTAGGTGATGAAAAGGAACAATATTTTTGTCTCAACTTGTGTTTTTGTTCCTTTTTTTTGCTTTAGGTCAAGAAGTAGTTTTCAAATGCCTTGGTGAAGGGATACTTGAGAATGCATTTCAAGGATATAATGCTTGCATTTTTGCCTATGGGCAGACAGGTAAGATATATGATGTCTGATGTAGTAAATTTCAAGAGAGAATGGCTTGACACAACGTTGTATTATTTTAATTGCTGAAATTGATCATTATCAAGATACTCATCAACCATTTAAATCATATAATTGTCTCAATCGCAATAGAAGCTCAGAACATATAGAAGGCTATTCAACTCACATAGTGCCAACTCTGTGAGAGCAGCCCAGAGCTAATAGCGGTGCCCAACTCCTTTTCCTCATTGCCATGAATTTTTGTTCATTTCAGATATTTATCCAAATTTGTCTTAAGTGTAAAAGGTATTTTCTTAGACAGGATCTGTGGCACAACATTCCTGTCTTCATAAAAACATTTTTCCTAACATCTCTTCACTCTCAGTTAAAGTTTTAAGCACCTTGTAATTGACCCCTCAACCGTAGAAAAGTTTGCTTTGTTCAGTTGTTTGAAACATTATATGCCGTGTACATCAACTCAGACTGGTGTAACTCTTCTATATTGAAATGTCCATGTGAAATGAAAACATTAGAAGAATTGAATCCCAAGTTCACAAGAACCAAATGTTTTTCAGAGATGGGTGCCAAGTATTGATAGTGGTTACAGCTGGTTCTCCTATGAAGTGTGTTCCGGCAACGTGAATTGGCTATAACACAATTGACAAATTGGGGAACATTATTTGTAAGATGCAGACTTGTGTTGACTATAATGCAGTTCCATTGAGTGTGAATTGTATGTTATAACACATACAATAATATAATAACACACACAGAACAACTGTCTTATTTGGAAAATACATGAAGTCTTAGTTTGAAATGTTTATGCTGGATGCATCAAATGCATCAGCATTATTTAAAAATGCAGCTCATTTAAAGAAATGGACTCCAATGCTAAATTGATTGGTATAAGCAAAGTATAGTTTAAAATAATGAGTGCTGTTAAAACATGCATCTTTGTGTGTAGTATTTTTGCCTAGATTTTGTTACATATTTAATATGTAAGAATTTTTGAACTTGCTTATGTAAGTCATTTATACCAAAAATTGTCTGATTTACAACCTGCTGTTTTCCAGTACTAATTTGAATACAATGTTACTTAGGTTTACAGTTAACTTCAATGCCAATGGGCTACATAGGAAAAAAAGGTCAGATTCCTCTGCTTCACTTATCTGAAAATTTATCCAGAAGTCTGTACTGATGGAATGTCAGGTCTGATCAGCATTTAAGTGGAGAAGGGAATTTTACTAAAAACTGCTAACGCGTCAATTTCGGGAGAGTTTCATGAAGGGTTGTTTGCTGCGAGTTCTCTCTCACACAATTTTGCACCGTTCACCTCTTTTGGATCATGCTCACACTATCATGCAGTACGGACCATTGCTGGGAATTCCAGTGGCAGAACTCTATTTAAAGCCCAGCTGTCACTTCATTGCAAATACAAGGTCAGATTCATAAATGTATTGCCTCTTTGCGGCATCACCTGTCTGATAAACTGTCATTATAACTGCAGCTATAAGAATGAAGCGACACAGGTGAGGAAGAATTTTGGAAAATATAATTATGTATCCTTTGTATCCCTAACCTTGCTTTTCCTAAAGGCCCTGTTGTTTATATAGTGCAATTTTCTATAATGCAGTATTGCTCTGGAGCACAACTATTGCATTATAGCAGAATCCCCTGTATTTCACTTGGCAAAGGAATCTTGAGAAATTCCTGTCTTCAGAACACCAGGAAATGGACAGAATTACAGAAGGTATTCTGAGGTGTCTCTGTTTTGCTGATGATATTGTGGTGACAGGGAGACCCAAAGATAAGTATGTCTGAAACTTGTACTCACTGATGGTTGCTGAAGGTTGAAGGACTCATTTTCAAAAACAAAAAGTGTCAGATAAATGTAGGTTAGACAAAATCTTCTGGCTCTATCAGTTCAGATTATGGGGCTGGTCCTAGCCAGGCAAAGTCCAAGATGTATGACACATGTCTTCTCCCCACAGCAAGAAAAGTCTGCAGAAATGTCTCCGATTTTTAAAAATTCCTCATACTGTACAAATGAAACCATTCTGACACATCATCATCGTTAAAAGCTTTGATTGAAAGATGTCCTATTTGTCAGGAGAACAACGAATACACGTGCAAATCACCCAAACACGCTTTGTCAGTGGAAACTTTTCCGCTCATAACTGACTTCCCTTCCTGCATTGGTAGCTTCTGCAAATGTGACCAGTTTGTCTGAATCCAAGATGTACTGATTCACTTGGATTTGCACAAAGGAAGTGTGTTGTGGAACAAGAGATTCAAAAAGAGATCAAATGTTTCAAAAAAGTAATTGTACATACAGCCAAAATCCTGGTTTGATTTTATAATTAATCTCTTCTGTAAGGTTTAAGGAGCCATGCTTGGGAATCAGTATGCATATTCCTACCTGAAATAGTTAGAAATTTGTTGCATAACCAGATGCTTTCAAAAATTGATTTTAACTTTCCACACTTGTAAAAAAAAATTACCATGTTAAGCGTTTTGGTGCAACCTGTAGTCACCAAAGACACTATATAAATATGCCTTTTTCCTGTGTACATAGGTTCAGGAAAGTCTTTCTCAATGATGGGCAGTGTTGATGTACCAGGCCTTATACCTCGTCTTTGCGGTGCATTGTTTGGAAGAGTCTCCAAAGAGGAAAGTGAATCTCACACATTTAAAGTAGAAGTGTCGTATATGGAGATATATAATGAAAAGGTGCGAGATCTCCTTGATCCAAAAGGGTAAGTACTAACTGAAAAGTTGTCTTGCTTTATTTTTAACTGTTACCTTTGAGAAATTAAGTATCCCATGGAATGGATATTTAACATTTACCTTGCATCGAAGGTTGAATAATCATGTGGTGCAGTAATAATGTTATTGAGATATTGATAGTAATAAAGCACATTAAGCTGAAATTCATTACAGAAGTATTACTTCAGTACTTTATCTTTCTTATTTTCCATTTTATTTCTTCTTATTAAATTTTACTGGAAGATTTTCCCATATTCTTTCCTTTTGTTGAGGGGTCTAACAGTTCATGAAATGGAAATTCAACTTATTAATAAATCTGGAATTACAAACTAGTGATAATGACCATGAAACTATTGTCAATTGTTAAAATTCATCTTGCTCACAAATGTCTTTTAGGGATGGAAATTTGCTTCCTTACCTGGTCTGGCCGATATGTAATTCCAGACAGATAATTGACTCTTATTTCCCTCCAAAATGACCTAGCAAGCCATTCAGTTGTACAAAATTGCTACACGTTGAAAAGGGATCGAATAAGACAGGCCATCAGGTATCAACATAAGCACCAGAAATGGCAACAGAACACTTGGACTTGGTGACCTTGCAAACATCTGGGGACTTGTGCAAAATTGGGAGAGTTGTCCCACAGGCTAGTCAAGCAGGAGCCTGATGTAGTCATACTTAGTATCTCTCTGAAGAAGAGTCATTTTGGACTCAGTGTTGAAGTTCTGGTCACTTTGCTATAGGAAGGATATTATTAAATTGGAGAGGATGCAGAAAAGATTTACAAGGATGTTACTGGGACTGGAGGGTTTGAGTTATAAGGACAAGCTGGATAGGCTGGGACTTATTTTAATGGAGCATTGGAGGTTGAGTGGTGACCATATAGAGGTTTATAAAATCATGAGGATATAAATATGGTGAATGGCACGTGTCTTTTCCCCAGGGTGGGGGAGTTCAAAACTAGGGGTCATAATTTTACGGTGAAAGTAGAAAGATATGAAAGATACCTGAGAGGCAACTCTTTCGTACAGAAGGTGGTTCGTATATGGAATGAATGCCAGATGAAGTGGTAGATGCAGGTACAGTTATAGCATCCAAAAGACAATTGGGCAGATCTGTGAATAGGAAAGGTTGAGAGGGATATAAACCAAACATAGGCAAATGAGGCTAGTTTAGTTTGGGAAACCTGGTCAGCATGGACAAGTTGGACCAAAGCATCTATTTCTGTGCTGTATGTCTTTATAACTTAACACAGTCTTCCAGGTGTGACCTGTACAACTGCAGTAATACCCTCTTGCTCCTGCATTCATTTCACCTTGCAATGGAGCCTAGCATACCATTTGGCTTCCTAACTCATTGTTGCATCCACATACTTGCTTTCAATGGCAGTCAGGTCCCTTTGTACCTAAACATTTCCTAATCTATCACTGTTAAAGTAATTCTCTGCCATTCTGTTTTTCAACTGAACTGGATAGCTTTACACTTATACATGCCAGATGCAGTACAACATTGTTTTGCCAACATGCTCAACTTTTCTCCCATGCCTTGAAGCATGTTTATTTCCTTGTCATCACACTCAATTCCTTCTCGTTTTGTATTATCAGCAAACTCGCATAAATTATTTTTAATTCCCTCTTCCAAATTATTGATATATATTCCCAACTGGTAGTATTACAGAACAGGTAAGATCCCAGACTGAAATTTGGCTTAATAGATTTTTTAAATGGATTTAAAAGGATGGACTTTTTGTGAAACACAAACATCCAATGCTATAGATTTGGTTTCAACAATCAAACAGAAGCTTTTTATATGAAAAAAAATGTATAAACCAAGTTATTTATATATGACACAAGTTTAAAAATTTCAAAACACACAATAAAACGCAATTCCAATAATCCCAGAAACACTGCTTTACAGTACTCAAGCTAGAGAATTCTCTTCTCTGTCATTCCTATAGGACTCGATGCTTCAACTCCTAGTTGTGAGAATCTTATAATACCTTTCATGAGTCTTCATAAAACTGAGTGTATACATTTTTGGTGTCAGATACCTCTGTGGGATTTTAACCAACCACTTCTGGTCTGGAACATTCAAACTAATTTGCTTGCATTCAGGTGATCTATTTCTAAACTATCTCCCTTCTTTCAGAGCTCCTGTTTTATATGTCCATCTTCAGCCAGAACCTCAAAGTCTGAAAACCAAAAAGACTTCCTTCAAACTGAGTGTTTCCCCAAGCCAAAAAACAAATTCCATCCTGGAACCTTCTACCTGAAGCCAAATACTCAAGTGTTTATATTGTTCACTTATGAAATTCGCCCAATGAGATCAAAACCCCAATCTTCTCAGAGGTGTCTCCCTCATGCTGTGATTTAAAAGAAATCACCGTGACTACAGAAATGCTTAGAAGTTGATCATTAAAGTCCCTTCATGGACACAGCCCAAACCCACATACCACTAGTTCAAAATACCAGAATAAGTTACAATAAGATGCATATAAATCACACACCACATCACATACTCCACGCGTAACCATCTTTTAGTCTGTAAAAGATCCATTTATTCCTACTCTGCCTTTCTGTTTACAAACATATTTATATCTATGCCAGTATATTACTTCTGGTCCCTTGTACTTCTAATCTTGTACACTGACCTCTTAAGCAGGATTTTATTGAAAGCTTTTTGAAAATCCAAATACTGTCACATTCACGAGTTCACCCTTATCTAATCTACTATATATCCTCAGGAAAAAATCCAGTAGGTTTATCAATCATGATTTAGCTGATTATCACGAATCTATGTTGAATTTGTTTAATCCTTTTGATATTTTCTAAGTGCTCTGCTATCATGTCCTTTAAAAGAAAGATTCTAGCATTTTATTTACTATTGATATTAGACTAACCAGTTTGTAATTCACTGTGTCCCTCCTATTATGTGATCATATTTGTCACCCTCTAATTTGTCAGGACTGTTCCACAATCTGCAGAATTTTGAAAGATGAAAATCAATGCTTCCATTATTTTCATAACACCTCCTTCAGTACTCTGCAGTATAGATCATCAGGCCCTGAAGATTTATAACTTGACTCACATTAAATTTTTGAGCATTACTTTTTTTCTGCTAACACTAATTTCCTTCATCTGTGGAGACAAAACTAAAGTAGGTGTTTAATCCCCCTGCTATTTCCCTGCTCTCCATTATCATAGCTCCCATTTTGGACTATGAATCTACATTGGTCTTCATTCATCTTTTATTTTTTAAACTTATAGAAGCTATTACAGTCTGTTTTCATGTACCTTGCAAATTTACTGTAACTTTTTTTTGAACCTCTTAATCATTCTCTTGGTCATCTTTGCTGAATTCTAATTGGCTTTCAAACCTCAAGCCTGCTACATTTTCTAACAAAAGTATACGACATCTCCTTGAAACTAATTCTATCCTTAATTTCTTTCTGTTAGCTACAGTTGGACCACTTTTTTGATGCAAAAATATAGCAGGAAAGGAGTTCAATGATATGATTGTTGCAATGCATACATTGATTTCTTCAATGTTTGCCAATGGCTATTCACTGTAATGCATTTTAATTAAATTTGCAAATCTATTGCAGCCAACTCGTGCATCATACTTTTATAGCTTTCTTTGCTTAGATTTTGGACCCTAGCTTTGGGTTGGATGACTTAATTTCTATCTCAAAGAAGAATTCTGTCATGTTGTGGTCACTCTTCCTGAAAGAACTTGTGCAACAAGATTATTAATTGATCAATGTTCATTCTACAATAACAAATCTAAGAAAGCCTGTTCCTTAATTGGTTCCTCAGTGTACTGGTCTGAAAATCCACATATGATTTGTCCATTCTATGAGTAGATTAAATTCACTCATGATTACTGCATGCATCTCTGATTTCCTGTTTAGACATTCCATTACCTTACCACTTGTTTGTAGGCCAATAGACAATATCCACAAATGTTTGTTTCTTAGTTCCACCCAGACTGATTTTTACATCTGGATTTTCTGAATAAGTATCCTTTCTCAATATTGTATTGATTTCATTCTTTACTAATAGCACTAACCAACCTCCCTCTCTTTGCCTGTCCTTCCTAAATATTGATCATCCTTGAATGTTCAATTCCGAAGCCTGGTCATCCTACAACCACGTCTTGATAATCATAATCATATTGTACCTATTTACAACTATTTTGTTAATCTGTCCATATTATTGCAAATACACTGTCCATTTGGATCCAGCATCTTTAGATTTATCCTTCTAAAAACGTTTACACTCATCCTATTTGTATAAAGACCCTATTTGCTGTAACCCTTGTTTTATTTGTGCCCTACTTTTGATTTCTATTTTTCATTTCCTACCTTTTGTTTCCATTTTTTATGTCTACCCATTTAGTTCCCATCCCCTTGCCACGCTAGCCAGTCTAGTGCACATCCCCTTAAACTTGAATGCAGTGCACTGTTTTCAAGTGTGTACCTGATCTTAAAATAAATAGGCCTCAATTCATCTGTGTTTTTGAGACCCAAGGGGAGTACTGTTGATAAGACCTTGGAGATTTCTTATGTCTTTCTTCTGTTCAGTCTGTTCTAACAATACTTTTTAAATACAGACAGTTCACATAATAGTTGAAATGAATAAAACAAACTTTATTAATTATTCATCAGTTATACCATATTTGAAGTATGGCTTTTAATAAATGATTTGTTGTTGGATTATGGCTGATTTATAATATGAGTAGTTAGCATTCTAAAACAGTATTAATACATTACGTAGCATGGCAGCACAAAATGAATTCCTTGGGCTAGCAGAATACATGTATCTTGATCTCTAAAGTTGACGAAGATAAAACAAACTAAAAGTAAATATCTAAAGTCCAGGTCTGCTTGCAATTGCAGAAGCGTCTGTCACTGACGGTATTATCGGGAGTGATCACCAGGTGGTTTTCACATTGATGATGCTCTCCATCATATTGAGTGACACTATGACTA